AGGAAAGGGGAAGTACTGGGGACTGAATTAGGGCAATTATATTCCATGCTTTCATAATTATGTCTAACTAAAAATACATTTTTAATTTATTTTTAACAATATAGTGAATATCCATAAAATATGTGAGTCAGTGGTTTTTAGTACTCTAGGGGCTTCAGGAACTTCTTAGATGACCTTTCCAACCCTGTAGGAATCCAGGGTGGTTTTAGGAAGCAGCTCCTATGGTTCTGAGTCACCTCCAGGGTTGAGAACTGCTGCAATATTGTGTTGAAGTATTGTGAGTCTATTAACCCTTGACCTGGATTAGGGTCACTTTGCATTGGATGGGAATACTTGTTTAGTGATTTTAATTAGCTTTATGACAGAGAACAGCCCTATTTGACTGGAGCCTTTGCTTTCTCCATTCCTATTTCTTAACACACACACTCCACCCAAACTCCCAACTCCAGCTGTGTGCAGGCCCCTCAGTTTCTGCACCTGGCTTGCTCTCCATCCTCTCCTGATTTACCCAACTCATTGCTGTATCTTCCAGGTATTCATGTAAGCATCATTAACACAAAGAGGCCACTCGTTTGCACTATACCTTTTCTCCCCTTGTACATAACATGCTCTCACAACCTGCTGTGGGTTAACATCTATAGAAGAAGGGCCATATTGTTCAATGTGTCCTTCTGGACACAGCTCAGTCACACCCAGACCACTGCCTTAAGTTCAAGTTCATCTGACTCAGACCTGCAAATACTCTCCTGAGGTAGAGGGTAGGGCCTATGGTACCATCATTCACCTTTTGTCCACTTTTTGTTTGGTATATGCTGTCCTTTAAAAATTGAGCCAGTTCTATAAACAAACAATGGGTGTTTCACTCAGATATCTAGGACTTGCTGAGAAATCAGATCCATCAGAAGTCAGCATTTACCATTGTGCTTGCTTCCAAAGGCTTACTTTGTTCTTCTTATTCAGTTGTTTTTCTTTTGGTGGAGAAATAAGAGAGATTTCCTGTACCTAGTAGAGGCTCATTACTTCACAATTCCTCCTTCAGATTATCTGCCTGGTTTCTATGTGCATTTCATCCTGAGAGGCCCCTGAGAGGGAGTCTTCCCAGCAAGGATGGAAAGAAAGGACAGATGTAATGAGATTGAGTAACATGTTTTTTGTCTTGGTGATGTGTTAAATAAATTGCAAAACTTTGTCAAGACTTGATTATGATCTCCAGTCCATTAGAATTTGGGAGTAAGATTTATAATCATCCTTGGTTTTATAATTGTATACTGATGGTATAATTTTAGACAGAGGATAGCTGCCTGGGGCTCACAGGGGTTGATAAATTGCTTGTGAAGGGGGATTATACTGCAGAATTTTATAATTACAGGTGTGTTCCTCCTACTTACTTCCATTAGTGATTTCATTCAATTTTCATCTGTGAAATTTAGAATGAACAGTGAATTTTATATTTAATCTCTCTTTTTCCTTTCCTTATTTGCAGCTCATTTATAATAGCTTTGCTCAGTACCTAGTCAAGGAGAAAGGGTATGATAAGGAATTGCTTACTGTTACCCCAGAGGATTGGGATTTCTGGTAAGTCTTTTCTTTTTCTTCTTCTTCTTTTTTAATGTCTGCACATTCCCTGTGGTTTTTAATTATTGCTGATAAAATTTTACTGTTTCCTCTTCTATAAACGTAGAAAGCAAAATGTGAAATTGAGTCAAAAGACAAAATGCCTTCTACACTAAGTTTTGCATCTAATGAGTTAAAATATTTTCTACTTTAAACAAGTTTAGACTTGCTTAATTAGATCTGAAAAGAAACTAAGAGTTTAGGTGACTAATTCAGATATGGTTTGTTATAATTAAAATTTTCAAAGTTTATTAAGAACTAAAATTTACATCTTTCTAAAAAAATTTGACTTATTATCCTTAAAATAAAAGAATAGTAAAAGAGGAGGAATCATCATGTTTTAAGTAACTTCACTAGAACTTTTGGTTTTGGTAATTTGGTTGGGCAAACCTGCTTACCTTTTATTGCCCCCTTCATTCCTGGTTTAAGATTCTCAGCTTCCCAAAGCCCCCTATATCTTTCTTCCTCATTTTAATGACACAAACAAAAATCATAAGCCACTTGAAATTGTTCTTCAAGGTTGAGTAGTAGCACACACCTGTAATCCCAGTGGCTCTGGAGATTGAGTCAGGAGGATCACAAGTTCAAGGCCAACATCAGCAACTTAGCAAGACCTTGTTTCAAAACAAACAAACAAAAAAAAAAATGAAAAGGGGTTATGGCTCAGTGGTTAAGTGCCCCACCCCTGGTATCAAATAAATAAATAAATAACAACAAATGAAGAAGTGAATGAATGAATAAATAATTAATTCAGTTTGAAATTAACAGTAACACTAAAACACTAAAATGCATGTATAATAGTCTTATATCATACATTCCTATGATATTTGGTTAGTCTTTTGATATATCCCTTAATTTAAAGGAAGAAAATAAACATCCTAATATATGAAACAATTGGCTTTGGAAATTAGAAAGAATGTAAGTAATGCTGCTATTGCAGCCTTTGATTTTAGTAATCTCTTGGTGTTTGCAGGTAATTATACCTCCTTTTATTATTTCTTATAATAAATCTATACTCATTTTTTTCCCCAGATCCCACAAAGCTTTTATAGTAAATAACTTAAAACTTCATATCTGACTTTATTTTACTTGGTTTCAATAATATGGCTTGCCCAGAGGGGACCTAAATTGAGACAAATCCTAAAGAAAGTAGCGAGAAGTTAACTTGTAGAAAACAGATCTGTGTGTGTGTGTGTGTGTGTGTGTGTGTGTGTGTGTGTGTGTGTGAGAGAGAGAGAGAGAGAGAGAGAGAGAGAGAGAGAGAGAGAGATGTGTATTTTAAATAACATTTGCACATTTTAACAGAGGCATAGGAAAATTTTTGGGTTATTTTTTTTCTCTCTCTCTCTTTTGAGTGTCAGATTTGTCTTTTCTAAAACCTAAAGGTTTTACAAACTAAACATACTGCCCTTTGCCTATTTAACAGTTTTCCTTATATGCCTCTTTTGTGATAGATATTTAATTTTATAATTCTTGGATTTTTTGTTTGTTTGATTAACATATCATTTACCTGGGCAAGAGAATCCCTTGTAACATTGTAACTTTTGAATAATATAGATTATTATTTCTTAAGTTAGCTAAATATATGAACTAATTAACAGTCAAACTTTTCTTAGTTGCAAGGGTTTGGCATTGGATCTGGAAGATGGGACCTTCATTAAACTTGCGGATAATGGCACCGTGCTCAGGTAATAAAATTTAGTTGTGAAATTAAAATCTTACTTTCTCCAGGATACAGTATTACTATATGATTCTTAAGGTATGAGTTAAATAAAAAGTCACTTTTATTGTAGTTAATCAGATGACAGATAATTTGTTTACCTGTGTGTCTTTGTATGAATTATTGAGCCATTTAAATATAAATCTGTAAGCTTTAGATTTAAAGGTCTAGCTCCTTTAAATTTAGTTTGAAGTATTTGCAGGAAATACAATAGAAAATTAGTAACTTGCTTCATCTTATTGACCACCCCTTATTGCAAAAGAGCTTGGGAATTATTCTGTTTTAGCTAGGTGTGTAGGTGCCTAGAATAAAACAATTATTCTTTTGATTGAAGAGGAAGGGGGAATGGATATTGAGTAGGGATTGGTGGTCTATGTATATTTCCTTTCTTCCATTTATCCAAGTGTACATCATTCATCATGCAGGGCTCATATTGCATCCCAGCTCCTTCTGGAAGTTTTTCTAGACTCCTATAGTCCTCACCAACCTTTCCCTCTCTTCAATAGTCAGTACTAACTTCCTATTCTTCTCTCATCTCTGAGTGTACCCAACCCTTTCAGGTGCTAGTAACCATGTGGAAAGCAGTCATGAAGTAGCTGCTGTCCCTGCTTTTGAGCCTTTCAGAGAGCACTAGGGAATGGGCATCTGTTTTTTACCAAGTACTAATAATTAGATCACCATGGCCATGAAGCTGTGCCATTTATTACATATGCCAACACAGCCAGAGTCAAAGAAGACTTGGAGCCCAGGAACCCTTGTATATATTCTGTCTTTGAACATATCATTCTTTTTGCATGACATGACTTCTTTCTCAGTCTTCCCAGACCTTCCCCAAGGTGCTTCTAATTAGAGCAGGTATGGCCTCGCCTCTGATTATTTTGTAATTTATTTGCATAAGTTTTTTTCTCAGGTGACTAGAGATAGTGTGTACGCTTGTATGTATGCATGTATACATACATATATATAGACATGGCACAGCTTTGACCATGGTCACTTTGGTATAGTGTTTTTGCCTACCTTCAG